GCCGAGCACCCTGCAGCTGCGACGCGAGCGGGCTGGACTTGGGCTCCCCAAGGGCCCTTCCCCCGACAGGCCGCCGCTCTGCCCACACCATGATCACTGCATGGATGGCTCCCGAGCCTTAATCCACTCTGAATGCCCGTGCACACAAGCTGTGCCCTGCTGTCACATGGGGCTACGTGAAGGGCGCCAATCGGCCTGGCTCGCCATGTCCCTCATTCACTCTGCTCGGAGCCCTGATCTGCAGAAGACTCCCGCTGCGTGGTCACGAGCCTGTACAAACCACCCCCGAAACCCCGCTGCCTCACGTCATGGCTGCCAGCCTCTGCCTGGCCCGCAGCGCCGCTACTGCACCTCTTTGCAAGTCATCAGCGACCAAGCCTCGCGTGAATGTTGTCTGCAAGGTGGGCGGGGGCCATCCGGTGACAGACTGGGTGCAGGGTGCATGGCTGGCCTGCTCGCACCCTTGTCGTTCCCAGGCCCTGCCTAGCTTTGGCGAGGCGAGCACATGCATGGTACCAGAGCGCCCGCTTTCGCAGCCTTTGCAAGCGATTAGCAACACCGCAACTTGCGTGGCTGGCCCCGCTCCGCCTCTGCGCGAGGCTCCTGGCCCCCTTTGTGTGGGCTTAAAGTCTGGTAAAGCAAGAACTAGCTTGCAACATAGACTCCCCGCCGAAACGGGACGGGAACCGGGCGAAAGCAGAGAAAGCAATAAAACAGGGGTGGAGCAAGGCGACATGCAACGCAAGCAGCTGACAGGGCACGCATCGAAACGTGTGTATGACTGGCAAAGTGGCATGGCGCATTGGGGAGAAACGCAACGGTACGGGAGCATGGGCTGGCCAAACGGCAGTGCGGAACGCTAGGTCACTAGAAAAGCAGGGAAAGGCGCACTATGTATGCAATGAGGGCAGCCCCGGCTCGGGGCCGTTGAGAAAGCAGTGGGCGGGAGGGGGGAGGCCCCGGTGTGGGCGGGCCCCATCGAGGGGGGATGGGGCGCGCAAGCGGCCAGATGGGGCGGGGCGCGGGCGGCAGTGGAGTCCTGCGGCTGGGTGGGATATAGGGCAATGAGCGTTGAGCAGTGTGCGATGAGCAATGAGCAATGAGCAGTGAGCAGCCCCTCCCTAAACAAAGTGAAGCGCAGGACGGGGTCCGGTGGATGGGAGGCAAGGAAACGCGGGGGGTTGCCACGTGCGCTACCGCCGCCGCCGCAGGCAGCACCCCTGCGGCGGCGGCAGCGGCAGCAAGCCGTGGACCCAAACGCCGTGCCGCCGCCGCCGCAGGCAGCACCCCTGCGACGGCGGCGGCAGCAAGCCGTGGACCGAAACTCCGTGCCGCCGAGTCCCGTGGCTGTGGCCGTGGGCTTCTGGCAGGAAACTACGGCCGCAGCTCGGCAGCACGGGGGCGTCGCAGCGTGCTGCCGCCGCCGCGCTGCCCCCCGGGCACGGCGGCGGCGGCAGCAAGCTTGGGCCCAAACGCCGTGCCGCCGAGTCCCGTGGCTGCGACCGTAGACCGTGGGCCGGAAACTGCGGCCGCAGCTCGGCGGCACGTGGTTCTGGTCAAATCGCCAAGCGTGCAGCAGCGCCGAACCACGCTTCCCGGCCTCGGCGCATGCCTTCAGGGGCCCCCTATCGCTGGGCACACCCCTCCAACACCGAACATGCGCCCGGGGGGGAGGGCGGCCCGGGCGGCCCAGGCCAAAGTGGGCCGCCCTCGAGCAAGAGGCGGCCGGGCTGTGTGCTGAATGAATGAATGAATAAATCGGTAGCGGCGGCTGACTGAGTAATGGCCCGATTTTAAATGACACTGCCAGGTGTTTGTCCCCCCGCGCCGCCCGCAGGCGGCAGACAACCACATGCTGCGGTTCCTGCCGTTTGCGCCGGCGGCCGAGCACGCCGAGTATGAGGAGCACGCTGGCCCCATTGTGAGGCCTCTTGCTGCTGCCGCTCCCAGTCACGCACCATGCACCTGCGCCCACCGCAAGCCACAGCAGGCCAGCCGCTGCAGGCGTGCGCAGGGGAGCGTGCGCCCTGCCCAGATGTGCGCCCCATTCGAGCGCTGACGCCGCCAGCGCCCGCCCGCCTGCCTTCTCCCCACAGGAGTACAACCTGTGCCAAGAGTCCGCCCGCAACAGCCTGGACAGCGTGGACTACTGGTTCCCTGAAACCGAAGACTCTAGCCCCAGCACGCCAACCCCCGCGGCGCAGGTGCGGCCTATCGCTGGCCCGCAGCTGCAACTGCCTTGGCGCTTGCCGCCCAGGCTCTTGCATCCTCACCCGCCCTCCTGTTGCCACGCTGGCACCGCTGGCACCGCAGGAGGAGGGCAGCTCTTTCCTGAACTGCTGGCCCCGTGACGACGCCTTCCCAGTGTGCATGGATGCCGAGACCTCCCGCCTCTCACTGGACAGCATGGACATCTGGATGACCGGTGACGAGTGAGGCGGCTGCTGCCAGCGGCGGGCCCGGCCAGCCCCGGCGGACCGCACGTTCGTTTAAACCCTACCACGCCATGTTTTCATTTCATTTTGCCATCTGCGGGCAGCTTGGCCCGTGTCCCCGCCCGCCCC